TCACACTGTCTAAAGTCCTGAAACATTCCAGCACCTTCAGGACCTTGGACAGGTTCTTCAACAGTTCCTACAGTCCTTCACACTGTCTAAAGTCCTGAAACATTCCAGCACCTTCAGGACCTTGGACAGGTCCTTCAACAGTTCCTTCAGTCCTTCACACTGTCTAAATTCTTGAAACATTCCAGCACCTTCAGGACCTTGGACAGTTCCCTCAATCCCTCACACTGTCTAAAGTCCTGAAACACTCCAGCACCTTCAGGACCTTGGAGAGGTGCTTCAACAGTTCCTTCAGTCCTTCACACTGTCTAAAGTCCTGAAACATTCCAGCACCTTCAGGACCTTGGACAGTTCCCTCAATCCCTCACACTGTCTAAAGTCCTGAAACACTCCAGCACATTCAGGATCTTGGACAGTTCGTTCAACATTTCCTCCAGTCCTTCACACTATCTAAAGTCCTGAAACATTCCAGCACTTTCAGTACCTTGGACAGATCCTTCAACAGTTCCTTGAGTCCTTTACACTGTCTAAAGTCCTGAAACTTTCCAGCATTTTCAGTACCTTGGACAGTTCAACAGTTCCATCAGTCCTTCACACTATCTAAAGTCCTGAAACATTCCAGCACCTTCAGTTCCTTGGACAGTTCCTTCRGTCCTTCACACTGTCCCAGGTCCTGAAAAATTCCAGGGGTACTAGTGGTATGACAAAATGGCTCAGGGGGTACATAAGTCTAAAAGRTTTGGGAACCACAGCCCTACTGCACATAACAAAATATGGTTTATAGTGAGGGAACTGTTAAAGATCCCATGTTAGTGAAGGCTAAGTTTGATTAAAACTTTTGTGTTCCTYGGATGAAGAACACAAGGGTAGAAACACTCCTAGAGATCCATTAATGGGTCCCCAAGAATTATTTTCCTTTGACTGCTCAGAGGCAGGCAGTGGCCTAAGTAGTACAGAGGTCTCTAATACAATGCCAAAGGCATCATGTAGACCATTGTCATAAACATAACATTTTGTGGTAGTTGAGCAGGTTGTGCTCAGTTAGAACTCCAACAAATGTACTTAAAGGTTTTTGTCAGTGTGATGAGAGCTTTCCCAAACCAAAGATTTGAGAAAGCTCTATAGGTCTAGAAAGATCATGGTGGGTTTTCATCGTGGTAGCAGTGTATTGAGGTCCTGGGTGGGGGGCATGTTGGCAGTGTATCCATGACCTGTGGTTCACGAGCACTACTGCAAACTGGAAGTTGAAAATCTGAAGCACATCAGCCTTATGTTTAGGCTCTGACCATAATCATGATATGGTCAAGAAAAGAAAAGTAGCTCAGTTGTGATACCARTGGCTGTATCATTATGCTAGTGTGGCGTGATGCTATTGTACATAGCTGTATCTCGAGTGAGGCCAGGACAAGCGTATACCTAGAGTGGTGAGGATCAAGGAGAGCATTTGAGGGAAAAACAGAAAAATAACAGAATTATAAGAAAACCTAATTGGCAAGTGTAGCAACGTCATGATTGCTGGAGGTTTTCCAAATTTGCCACAATCCAGCCACATTCTAATTAAAACAGAATGATTAATTTGCTGATATACAGAGAAATGAAGATCAGCAGCTGCTATAACCAGCTTACTGTACTGTAGCTCACAACAAAAAAGTGAGAAAGCTCTTCTATATATAGTTTTTATTTGAACAACTTCTTGAGGGGTTGTTAAACAGACATTTATTTAAGTAGAGGAAATGATTGTTGTGTGAAAAATAGTGGCCAGAAATGTAAAAAAGCATCAGACCTGATGTGTAAAGACTGACATCAGAAAAACTTGTTTTAGTCAATCTTTAGTTCTTGTGTAGGACATGGAAGAGTAACGAGGTCATCATAGAGAGTGAAGGAGGCCGTCCATAAACAAAACATTATTTAGGATTAGAACAAGGCTGGACTTTAGTCCGTTAGTCTTCACAAACTTTATATAGTATTAACTCTGCACTGGGGAAATAATTTAAATGTAAATAATATTTCTAGATTCTACAAATTTATCAATATATGAAGTCATTCTAAATCTTATTCCAACTTGTTGATAAAAATTTTAATTCTTAAAGCAATTTTTCAAATTTTATTTACAGGAAACCTGTTTTAAAACTAAATGCTTTTCTGAAGGCATTTTTCTAGTGACACACTACTTAATGTCATGTTTTTTAGATCTTTAATTTTAGCGACACTTCTTTCCCTAACCTAATTTGTATCTAGCAAACTTTAAAACAGCCACAACAAATTTAGCCAGCTTGTGTTAAATACATGTTGAAACAGTGCAAACAATCAGACTCTCAACATCAAAATTTAAATTTCCGGTATTTGTTTAAAAAAGAGGGGGGGGGGGGATTAGAAATCTCTAAAATGTACTGTTGCTCCTGATCAGGTAGTGTGAATGTTTCATGAATAAGTTCCCTAAAAATGTATCCATTTGCATCCTTTAGGTTTCACCTCCCTTTATAGAAAAGATTTTGTATTGTGCCATCCTAGCAATATTTATTCTGAGCGCCACAGTTCCCACCAGAAACACAAAACAACATTAGTAGCTCCTGAGGGCAGATGTTGCACACTGAAGCAACATTTAACAAGTGCCTAATTGGTAATCAAATTACTCCTTTATAGCTGCTCAGTGTCCTGACCTCAGTTTTGTAACAATGACAGCAGCCAGCTGTTGTGGATCTGTCAATTGAGGGTTCTTCTCCATGACTGAGTGGACTATGTAAGCAGGAAAGATATTACAAAGGTTCCTGTATGTCTGATACTGGTGATCTGGAATAACGTACCGCTCTTGGTGTTCGACTGCAGATGGGGTCTCCCACGGCGAGTTCCAGATTTGTTCCATTTTGTCTGGCATGCTGCGGACCATCACTCGCTCGCAACATGGCATCAAGCTGTTACTGAGCGGATATGAGTGATATCCWAAGGACTCGTTCCCACAGGGCAGGGGGTCCCAGCTCGCATGCTGCTCGCGGCACAGCGGCGGTCGCCTCTGTCTCATTGGGTTGCTGTCGTATAGCCTTGAATCTGATATGCTGTCCATGCGAGTCATGCCTAGAGACCGCGTTGGCTGGGAGGACAAAGGCGGGAGGACATTTTGAGTGAGCGGGTAGTCTCCAGGACAGCTGGACCGGGCTCCCACAGCTGCATGCTGGATATGTGGCGCCAGGTGAGCTTCGGACTGCTTGTGGGGACATTGTTTGGGCTCCTCCGGTCCGTAGCTCTGCACTCTGGACAGMGCTTCATGACGAAATCCACGGGAGAAGGCCTGCATCCGACTCTGTGCAGGAGCTTGCTGCTGTCCTTTGATGCTCTCCTCCAAGCTGCTGTCCACGGAGCTTGGGTACATGTCCCCGTAAGAGGAGAACGAGTCACTGTTGGAGTGGCTGAGGCAGGATTCGGCGCAGTGGCTGGGATTTCTCTGATACACATGCTCGTGCTCCATGCTACAGAAACTGTCCACATTATGCATGCTGCTCATGCTCATATTTGAAAAATCACTGTGGAGTGAATAGTATCCATGATCGCTAACCGAGTCATACTTCAGGAACTGTTCGCCGTATGTGACAGAGGCGCCGTGGCTGTTGGTGACTAAAATGGGGGGGTACTGAACACTGGACATGTGCTCTAGGGAGTTGTGAGCAAACTGCAGAGAACCTGGAACTGGGCTGCTGGCAGATCGTGTGTTCAAGGCTCCAGCTGCGTGGCTCTTGGCAGGCTGCATGGTGGGYACGCTGAGAGCAGACACGAGGGAAGGCACTGAATTTGTCTCAGACTTCCGAACAACAGAGAGCGCCTCTGGAGGTTCACAGGCCACTGAGCGAATGCTGGGGTCAGACTGACGTTTGGGTGCCACGCGTTTGGCTTCAGAGCTGCCATCACCCTTTACAGCTGCTGGACCTGTGCCACATTTAACTAAAGCCCCCTCGCTCATTGTTTTTACTGCAGACAGTTTGGCAAAGGCTCGCAGTTCATCAGCCACAGAGCGCAGCGGTTGGTTGACACGCTCGGGATGATAGTATTTGCACTTATGTCCGTATGTGCACTTTTTCCCTGGTTTAAAAGAAAGAACGATCCAAGTGGTGAACATGGAYTGTTTAAATCATTCTAGAAGAAAAGAACAACTATTGAGAAACTGCTTAAAAACACTTACCATAGGGGCAAGGCTGTTTCTTGTATTCTGGAACAACTGGTCTCTTGCGGAGAAAATTTTCTAAGCTTGGCCCGTGTCTTCCCAGTGGGTCATCAGGCGGCATGAACCTAATAAAAACAACCAGCCAAAAGCAACTAAATTACAGGCGGAGCAAAGTGTTTTTTGTACGTTACCAGTGAATGCCACAAGCAGATAATCTTAAACTGCATTAAAAATTTTACGTTAATACAAGTTACCAACATGCACATAAAATACTTTGTTTTGTAATAAATGTGACATTTCTAATAAAGAGCATCTCTATTAGCAGTCCAAGTATTTTACACAACTTGGCCGTAATAAAAATTAAACCAGGTTTTCTTACTTGTCGTTAACAAATGAATACATCAGGAGGCGCTCTTCAATAAACTTCTTCCACTCTGGCTTCTCGTTTTGCAAGTCCCTGTAGTTGTCATTCGACACAATAATTCCATCAGAATCAAACGCCAGCTTCACTATGAAGCGATCGTCATAGCACACCACTCTTCGGCCCTGAACTCTTCGAGACGGGGTGAAAACCAG